CTCGGCCCCCCCCCCCCAGCGCCAATTCGCCTCGCGCACTGCTCCCTCCGCGCGTCGCCTCCGAGCGCGTCAACTGCCCTCGAGCGCAGGCCCTTCCGTCCGCCAATTTGCGCCGCGCGCCGCTCTCTCCAAGCTCCGCCCCCGCCTCGTGCTGATACCCTCCGCACTCCGCTCCCTTCGCGCGCCGCCCCTCCTCGTGCCGATTCCCTCCGCGCACCGCCCCTCCTCGTGCCGATTGCCCTCACGCACCGCCCCTCCTCGTGCCGATTCCTTCCGCCCGCCTGCCCTCCTCGTGCCGATTCCCTCCGCGCCCCGCCCCTCCTCGTGCCGATTGCCCTCACGCGCCGCCCCTCCTCGTGCCTATTGCCCCCGCACGTCGCTCCCTCCGAGCTCCGCCCCCCTCCTCGCGCCAAACCTCCTCGCGCACTGCTCCCTCCGCGAGTCTCCTCCCAGCGCGCCCACTGCCCTCGAGCGCGGGCCCCTCCGCCCGCCAATTTGCGCCGCGCGCCAGTCTCTCCCCGCTCCGGCCCTTCCGCGCGCCAGTCCCCCTCGCGCGCTGCTCCCTCAGCTGAATGGATTTTGAACTCTTCTTTGCGTGTGTGCGGACATTAATCGAAATAACTTAATTTCTTTACATATCCCTTTGTGCTATCAATTCAAAGAGGCCTGCTTCTGCCGGGGGTCCAGGGGCTACTGTGGGGTGATAAAAAGGTTCTGGAACTAGATGTTGTGGTCTTTTCACCACCTGGTGAATGTAAACGGGACTTCTTCACACACTTTAAAGAGTTACGATGGTGAAGCTTATGTTTCATGCAATTGATCACAATATTTAAACAAAAAAGCCACGCTAGAATTTTACCCTCTGTTGGTCCCTTCCCCCCACCCCCAAGGTAGCCCAGGTGGGCTTCTTAGCAGATGAGCATGCCTTGTCTTTGCGGTGACCTCTTTCTTTCTGGAACCCTGTGCACGGCGGCAGGCCACAAGCCCCTCGTGACTATTGAGGGTTGGGGTGGCCTTAGCCCAAAGCTAGCGTGCAGCTTTCCCAAGGGAGCTTGACTTCTGGGAGCTTCCCACCTCCTTCAGGTCGCAGCGGAGTCTCAGCTGTTGGCTTTGACTTTGCGATGATCTTCCGAGGCCCCTTCCCCACAACTCTATGCCCTAAGTTCAACCGACGCGGAGCATCTTGGTTCAAAAGGGCCCAGCTCCCGAGAGGCCCCGAGTGTCCGTTAATGCGGCGGCCACGCTCCCATGTTCTTGCTTGGGTGAAGGGGATCTGCGTTGAAAATTTTATTTGCTCAAGAAAAACCTACGTGTATTCCTACCCGCGGAGTATGTGAGTGTTCTTTTTGCCACCTCCTCATCGACACTGAATGTTCAGTCTTTTCAGTGTGTGCCATCCTCATGGATGAGAAAATCGTATTCAACAGTCAGTGGTTTGATTTACATTTGCCTGATATCCTTGTAGTTGCACAGTTTTTTGGACGTTTGTTGCCACTCGTAGTTTGTCCTTTCTGAATTGCCTCCTATCCTTTACTGTTTTTATAGTGGATTGTTTGTTTTAGTTTCCTACTTTGTAGGAATTCTCTGCATATTGTGTTGACCAGACTGTTCTCTGTCAGGGAGACTGGAAATATTTTTTCTCAACCTGTTGCTTTTTGAAAATATTAAGAGATACTTTGGTTTTAAGTGTTTGAGCCCAAACCTAAATGTTGCTTTTTTTTTTTTTTGCTTTTCTCTTATTTATTTTGTATTTTTATTTATTCACTTATATATAACACCCAGTGCTCGACCCAAGTGCCCTGCTTAATGCCTATCACCCATTTAGCCCACCCCCCCCATGTTGCTTCTTTTTAACTTCATGCTTTTTTTTTTTCCCATGACAAGGTTTGAATTTTTTTTCTGTGGTAAAATATATAAATCTTTTTCTCTGTGGAATTTTGGGTTGACTCTTGTTTAGAAAGGTTCTCTTCACACAAAGATTGTAAAAACACTTGCTATTATGTCCTTCTAACACTTTTGTTTTTTCGTTCTTTTAAAGTTTAATTTATTTTTGAGAGAGAGAGAGAGAGAGTGCACACGCAAAAGGGGGAGAGGGGCCGAGAGAAGGAGACACAGAATCCCAAGCAGGCTCCAGGCTCCGAGCTGTCAGCACAGAGCCTGAAGTGGGGCTCAAACCCAAGAACCATGAACTCATGACCTGAGCTGAAGTCGGACGCTTACCCCCGACTGAGGCACCCAGGAGTCCCCTATTATTTCATTTTTATGTTCAATTCTGTACCTTGTCTCAACTTTATATGATGTATATGATGTAAGATAACACTGTGATTTAATTTTTTCAAATAGCCAATGGTCCCAAGACTATATTTATTATTCTTTTTAAAAAATTGCTCTGCTAGGGTCGCCTGGGTGGCTCAGTCAGTTGAACATCCGACTCTTGATTTTGGCTTGGGCTGTGAACTCGTGGGATCAAGTTCCTCATCAGGCTCCATACTCTTCATGGACCCTGCTTGGGATTCTCTCTCCCTCTCCCTCCGCCCCTCTTCCCTACTTGCGCTTGTACCGTCTCTCTCTCTCTGTCTAAAAATTCTTTTTTCTTTGCCGCTCTTTTGCATTTTCTCTTCCAAGTAAGTTTTAGAAGTAGCTAATGTAAGATTCCTAAGACAATTCCATTGGGTTTTTAATTGGGATTTCATTGAATTGATAAGTTGATGTGTAGAGGGCTGACATATTTGTAGCGTTGAGTCTTCTGTTCAAGAACATAGCGTATGCTTTTTGATAATCACGTCGCATCGGCATCCTATTTTATAGCTTCTGTGTACCCTAGTATCTCGTTTCTCTTTGTTCCTCCTCTCCTTCCTTTTTTTGGATTAATAGAGTTCCATGGTTTTTCTCCCCTCGGTTATTTGGATCTTATGTACGTGACTCTTTTTTTCTAATGGTTACCTTTAATTTTTTTTTCAATTTTGAGTTTTTTACGTTATCTATAAAATTCCACAATAGAACCAGTCATTAACAACTGTCAATTCACCCTATTTCCTACTTCCTTTTTAATTTTTAAAGATTTTATGTTTTTTTAAGATTTTATTATTATAAATGTTTATTTTTGAGACCAAGCATGAGAGTGTGAGCGGGGGAGGGGCAGAGAAGAAGGGGGACAGAGGATTCGAAGCCGGCTTTGTGCCGAGAGCAGAGGGCCCGATGTGGGGCCTGAACTCACAAACCATGAAATCATGACTTGAGCTGAAGTCGGACACTTAACTGACTGAGCCCCTCAGCCATCCCTAAAGCTTTTATTTTTAAGCAATCTCTACTCACAATGTGGAGCTCCAATTTATAACCCAGAGATCAAGAGTCGCATGCTCTACTGACTGAGCAAACCGGGCACCCCCCACTTTGTTTTTAAATAAACAATTATTTTGTTCTTTTATTCATTCAATGGTTTATCTGAACATAGTTGAAAGCAGGGGTCAGCAAACTTCTCCTGTAAAGGGCCAGATAGTAAATATTTGAGGTCACGTGGTCTCTGTTGAAGCCATTTAGGCCATTTTTGTGGCACACATACAGCCATAGACAACACCTAAATGAACAAGTGTGGCCATGTGCCAATCACTGTGTTTACGGACTGAAATTTGAATCTTACATACTTTTCACGCGTCACAAAATACTCTTCTGATTTTTTCATCCGTTTCAAAATTTAATAAACCATTCTTAGCTGACACCTGTATAAAACCAAGCCATTGTTGGGCCAACTCTTGCTTCAAAGAGTTAAATGGTTCTACAAGGTTTATTGCAAAAACTGT